TGAGTTTGATATCGTGTACGTGACACAAAAAGCCATCAAAGGACAAGCCCTGGCGGATCACCTCGCAGAAAACCCGGTGGACCAGGATTACAAGCCGCTCAAAACCTACTTCCCTGATGAAGAAGTTTTGTTTGTAGAAGAAGATATATCAGAATCATATGATGGATGGAGAATGTTCTTTTATGGAGCATCAAACTCTATTAGAGTTGGAATAGGAGCAGTCTTAATTTCGGAAACAGGTCAGTATTACCCGATCACAGCCAAGATCAGGTTTTATTGTACCAACAACATGGAGGAATATGAAGCTTGTATCCTCGGACTCAGGATGGCCATCGACATGAACATCAAAGAACTCTTGGTGATAGGAGATTCCGACTTATTGGTTCACCAGGTGCAAGGAGAATGGACCACTAAGAATGTCAAGATCCTGCATTATCTGCATTGCATTAAAGAGTTGAGTAGGAGATTCACAAGGATTGAGTTCAAGCATGTCCCTCGAGCTCAAAATGAGTTTGCCGATGCTTTGGCAACATTGTCCTCGATGTTTCAACACCCAGACAAGAATTATATCGACCCTATCGATATAAAGATACATGATCAACATGCATACTGCTTTCATGTAAATGAGGAACTAGATGCAAGGCCCTAGTACTATGGCATCAAAAGATTGATAGAAGCACAAGAATATCCTGAAAATGCCATAAGCAAGCAGAAACAGACTTTGAGAAGGATGGCCAATCATTTCTTCCTTAACGGAGAAATCCTGTATAGGAGAACATCAGATTTAGGATTGATGAGGTGCGTCGACGCCGCAGAAGCGACAAGGCTTTTGGAAGAAATACATGCAGGAACATGTGGACCTCACATGAACGGGTTCACTTTAGCAAAGAAGATTTTAAGAGCTGGATATTTTTGGATGACCATGGAGAGAGATAGCATCCGGTATGTGCAAAAGTGTCATCAGTGTCAAGTGCATGGAGATTTTATACGGGTTCCACCGAATGAGCTCAATGTGATGGGTTCCCCTTGGCCATTTGCCGCTTGGGGCATGGACGTTTAGCCATTTGCTACTTGGGGCATGGATGTTATTGGACCCATAGAGCCTCCCGCGTCAAATGGACATCGTTTCATC